TTTGTTAAAGTTCTGAAAGGAGGTTTTAATAAATGTTGGAATTGTGTTCAATCAAAGCAAGTGTAATAAAGGGTTCAAGGCTTTTATTGTCATACGTACATAGCTATAGTAGTTAAGACAATGGAATTCTTAGGTCACAGGCTCCTCCCACAGTGCAACACAATAAAACGGATAATAGTGCAAGTAAATAAAATAATATAGAATATAATAGAAATTGTGCAGAATAGTCGATATACAAGTAATTGGAATATTGATATATATAAGTTACAACCAGATGAAGGTTTTGGATGTTCTTTCAAAAGTTCAGGTGACTTTTGAAACAGCTAAGTTGTTATTTTAAATATTGCATTGTTTCCCTAGCACAAAATGGGAATAAATAACAATAAAGAAAATACATAGACTATTGGAAAAAATCTGTAAGCATTTATTTTGGTATCAATGTTGAACTTCACAATGGTGGCATCCCTAATTCCTGACCATGTAAATGTTTCTGTCATCAGATCTTGTGGACGTTCTCCATCTACCTGGAGTCGGTGGCTATCCTGCCTCAGCTCTTCATGATCAGCAAGACTGGCGAGGCGGAGACCATCACCACCCACTACCTGTTCTGCCTCGGCATGTATCGGGCTCTCTATCTCTTCAACTGGGTCTGGCGTTTCTACTTCGAAGGCTTCTTTGACTTGATCGCCATCGTGGCCGGATTGGTCCAGACTGTTCTCTACTGTGACTTCTTCTACCTTTATGTCACCAAAGGTGGGTTTTCTTGCTGGTTTCCGATTATGGCATTAGATGGATTAACTAAGGAAATAAGAGCGTGGTTATCAGGAATAAAAATATGTCTATATGTTTGTTAAAAGAGTTTAGATAATCATGTGTTGTTGGATAATTATTACTCCACATTCCTCTGGCACTGACGCAATCTCTTCCTAGTGTGACTGAGATGTGAGAGATCCACAGTCCTCGTTCCCTGAAAAACCTCATTTTCTAAATGAAATGGTCCTTTTACCACAAAATCCCCTCTTTGTATTGCTCTTCACCAGTTCACCAGTCTCGGTAGCTTACCAAGGAAACACATTCCGACTAATACATAAAGGGGATTTTGTGCTAAAGAGACGCTTGATTTGTAAACATGCTCTTGATTTGGCTTACTCCGACTGCTGAGACCTCACATTAGCATCGGTTTGCCTTCAGAATGAATTATTCTCACGATTTGATCAAGTATTTCTTACAGTCGCCTTGGAGACAAATACATAGAGTTAAGACAGCTCAAGACCTTTCGTTCACAATCTTATCAAAGTGCTTCCAAAACTGCAGCTATTCACACTAGTTTGTTTTGGAACAATACCATTCAGAAAACTTGGACAGTGTTTCAGTTACTTTAGCCATTTATTTCCTTACAGTAGCTTCAAAACAGTAGTTTTCTGAGAGCCAACACCAGAATATCAATAAGGTTTATTAACTTAAGTACGTTTTCACTTACAAGGAATTTGCCTTTGTGATGGTGCATACTCTACATAAAATAACTTCTGTAGAGGAATTAAAAACACAGGCAAAGTAAACCAGATTAAATGATAAATTGCAGTAAAACATTTTTAGAAAGGGGGGCTGTCTAGAACCTTTTTCAAGATGTTCAAATATTCAAAGTGAAGAGATAATGTACAAGGTTCAAGGTTTTTGTCTGGGCTTGGAGAGGTCCGACTGACAATCCTTCACGCCTGTCTCAGGTTGCTGAGGGACAGCAAATTGAACCAATCACTGTCTCACAGAGCGGTGATGTGCTGCAGTCTGCCCTTCACTGTGGCAGCAGCATACCAGATGGTGATGGAGAGGGTTAGGATGGACTTGATGGCAGTCTAGAAGTGCCCCATCATTGACTTTGTCAAGTTAAACTTTTTTAGCTGCCACAAGAAGTACATCCTCTACATTTGGGTTTTATCAAAGTGGGGGGCGAGCCTCCTTAGATGGGCTCAGGGGAAACTTTAAGTAGTCCACTAGTTTCTACGGAAATGTTCCGCCTGATCCCCAAAAAAGTATTTAGTTAGTACATTCAGATGGCCCAGAAATGTTATGTATAAACTAGGGCTGTCAAGTTAACGCGTTAATAACGCCACTAATTATTTTAACGCGATTAACGCATGTGTATTTTTTTTTCCTCGGCCGGCCCGTAGTTTCAGAGCGCATCGAGTTTAAAATACCATCTACAAGCTGATGCTGACAGCCCCGCTCCTGCCGCCCGCTTGTGGCAGACCACACTTCCACGCTCACCGGCAGGCACCGACTGGCTATTGGGAGGACCGGGAGGGTGTGTGCATGTGTGGCCCGAGCGAGCGAGAGAGAGACCTTACGTGCATTGTTGTTGTTAGCATCTGGTGCTAGCTAGCTGCGCTAACGGCTATAAGGAGCTGTTGAAATGAAAACAGAGGAGCGACATTTCGCCACAACTGCGCCGAGCACTTGACTTTATGCAGGCAGCCAGACAGTGGGACATTGTACGAAAAGTCAGCACACTCAGCACGGATAGTGCGCAACATGATTGCAGCGTCCAGGCAGCTCCGGTTCGAGCATGCCTTGAGTTGCACATAGCTCCAACGATCCATCACACACACACACACACACACACACACACACACACACACACACACACACTTTGTATTGTATTATTGTATGAGAGGTTCCAGGTTGAATTGAGGCGAATATTTTAAATGTTCAGAGGTTGTTGTGTTTAATATTCATGAAGATATTTGTCATTGTTCAAATTATAATAAACATTAGCATAAAGCATATTTGTCCACTCATATGTTGATAAGAGTATTAAAAACTTGAAAAATATTCCTCTAAGGTACATTTAGAACAGATCAAAAATGTGCGATTAATTTGCGATTAACTATGGACAATCATGCGATTAAATATTTTAATCGACTGACAGCCCTAGTATAAACGAGTTGATGTAAAAAAACTAAAGTTACAACACAGCGGTAAATTAGGGAGGACAGCTGTCTGTGTTTGATTATCTGTGTGAATATTTGGTCTCACACAAGCCATTGTTTTATTTAAAATATGTCATAGTCTGAATTGCCTAATTTTCCCAGTTCTTCAGATGGGTTGGACACGGTTACAGGGATGAGTTCACAAGGTTCTTTTTAGTTTCTAGTTCAATCATTTTGTAGTCAGCCTCGTGGAAATGGCTGCTTCAAAAGGGCCAACCACTTGTGGTCACTTCTGAACACAAATCGATGAACTCCCATTTGAAAGCTTCTTAAAAATGTAAACTTGATTAGCTATGGCAGCATGAACAACCACTGGCACTGATGGTTTCTGACTGTTTCTTTCTCTCTCGTCCCCCAGTACTGAAAGGCAAGAAGCTGAGCCTGCCGGCATAAAACGTAAGGAAGGAGATGGAGACTCCCAGCAGACTCAGGGGGGTGTGGAGATGACATCATGTCATCTCATGACCTACAGCGAAAAATGCCTGAGACAAAGAGCCAACTATTTGGGGGGAAAACACTAGTCTTCTTGATGATTGCTGATAGGGTAAATGCCAACAAACAGCGGAGCTGAACAAAAATCATACACAGTCAACGTTTGGATTTCTGTGTTCAGCATCTTGCCTTATACTTATTTTCATTGCTGTTCAATTAGGAGAAAAGGCTTCTTTTTTTTTTTTTTTACATGTGAGGTGTATACGCTTGTTTTTTTTATAATGTCACAAATAGGGTCGACTCTGAAAAGTACCTTGTTTGAATTGGTAATGAAATGCACAAATGTACAGTCTTATTAAAGAGTGAGATGAAGAGGTAATGTATCGGAGTGCCTGATGAGGATTATGTCCACTTTCTCACATATTTTTCTTTTTTTACTTTTGGATTTTCTTTGTCTGCATATACTATAATACTGTATCTTCTCATGGAAATATTTAAGATGCCAACAGCAACAGTTTCGCCACAAACACAAACTTGCATTTTGTAAAAACATTGATTTCTAAAATTGTATAAAACTCTGTTTTAACAATTGTCTTTAAATCTGAAACATTTTGTAACCGGTTAACATTACAGGATTTATAGTTTCAACTTAAGTTTAGGTAACCAATGAAATATAAAACTTCTTTGGGACGAACATGTCAGTATTTTTGAATGATGGCTATTTTGGAATTAAATCTTTCGTGTATTTATTGATCTTCTTTCTTCAGCTTGCTGTTTAATAGACAAAAAATGCATCAATTGTTCTTCAGCTTTAATATACATTTCATCAAATCTAAACAATGCTACATCACATTTTGGATGTGGATAGAGCACACATTTAGTTTCTGCCAGCATTGCACCCAGAAACAAACTATTGAACACCTTCCAACAGTGACTTGTCGTTTTTCTCAAGGTCATAATCAATGAAGTCAAGAGTAAAGCAATATAGCTGAATAATGATAATTGACTGAGAATCGTTCAGCCCTTTGACTGGTTGTGACATTTCAATTGTTAACGGTACGTCTGGAGAGTGAACAAATGAACAGTCTGTTGTCGAGTAGGGGGATCACTGTGTTCAATGGGTGCATTTCTATAAAAACGCCTCTTGTTTAACTTTTCAAATGAGTAATTCCCAACTTTGTCTTCTTTTATTTTTTTATTTTTTTGTGCATGATATCACCTCCATTAAAGATCTTCTGAGAATCACCTTCCAGTGTCGCTGTTTGACTTCTTAAAATCATTCAAGCAAAGATTATAAGCACACTTACACTATTGAGTTTTGGGCCAGTAGTAGTGCCTTTTAATGTAAACACATCATAGCCATCATATATCTTTGAAAATGTGGCAGGTGTAGGTGGGAGAAATACTAAAATATGACGTTTCATAATGTTTAGTAGGCACAGTTCATTCCAATAAAGATCTTTGCAACAAAAATACATGCTGAGGATACACCATTATTACTCATCTCAAGTTCCTTGTAGTAGATCAGGATATTCTCTCATTAAGAAAAACCACATCCATAAATAAATTCAGAAGCAATTGTTGTGTGCCGTACACCAGACTTTATTTTCAGCAGATCATCTATCGCCAATAATACATTGTTTTTAATCCATTAAGTTAATTATATATGTCACCATGTAAGTTCACTGTTGAGGAACCGGCAATCTAAGTTGTTCATACATTACATAACATATCTGTTATGACAATAACTCTTTGAATGTTGAATCATATTTTAAAGCCAAGAATTGTCAGAAGAAGAACACACTTGTTTATCATGATGTGCATTTATTCAAAGCTTCATCACAAATGTGCAACATCGAGCTCTTTTAAAGGTAACAGCAAACAAGTAACATGTGCATCAGATAGCTGCAGACATACATTACATACACAAGCATTTCTAAAACTGAATAAATATTCTGTGTGTATTAGGACTAATAAAGCAATATTAGTTATTACATAGTTTGGCTGTGATATGTTATACTTATATAACATGTAAACATAGAGATAATGACACATAGTACAATGTACTAATAATCTTTAGGCTTTAGACTTACAGTGACCATCAGGGAGTCTTTGTGCTTACACAATCTGTTACATACAGCACATTCAAGGGTCTCAATCCAAACCACCAAGCTTCAGTAGTGCTCATTTATGGTGCCAGTTCACAAAGCAATTTTAAACCTTTCCACATACAGTTGACAATTGAGAGAGAAGAATAATCAGGCTTTTACATTTCCTTCGTTTTTGAAATTTCACTCTCACTCTCCTTCTCCTGGACATCATGTTGCTGATAGGAATAAAGGACAAGAGAGAATAAATACACCGTGGGAACAATTTCACAGTTAATAATATAAATGTCAGGACACTTAAATGGGAATTTTAGAAGATAGGATTATGAAACTGAAATGATTGTATTGTATCACCACAACCACATTTAACAGAAGCGTTGCATAAAGCTTTGAATGAAATGCTCAACAGGTTGTGTAGGCTGCTGTATTTTATCTTTAAGGCCGAACTTACCAAGAAAAAGGCCAATTATGGATGAAATGGTGATATAATAAAATGTTGTGTTTGTTCTTCTTTTGTTCAAAACACACTCCACACATCAGTACATTACCTTTGTCAGATGTGGGTTATAGCGGCTGAGGATGTTGGAGATGGTGAAATAAAGCGCATTAAAGATGAATGAAACCATGACAGAGAAGAGGGCGATGCCAGAGAGCACACACAGCAGAGTCGTCCCTCCTACAAACAACAGGAACGCTGACAAAGAGAGAAATAAGTTGAGTTTGGTTAATAAAAAGTACTGTCAGATTAGTACAGTTTAGCTTGCATAAGACAGTTATTGACATGATCAGACATACCTTCAAAGAAAACCAAACCAACTGCAGACATGATAATGGTCACAAGAGCAAAAGAGAGGAACATTCCAACGGGAATTGCAGACATGGCACCAAACAGCATCACCGTGAGAGCAAATAAAGGGTGGCTGTTCAGGTACTGCCCGATCCTTGTTTTCATCATCTGTGCTACCTGGGAAAAAGATAAAAGCAAAATGCAGCTGTCATTTTCACTCAGCTGGAAATGAACACAGACCCCTGGGATTTGCTGACGGAAAAGCAAACATAAAGAATAAAGAACGTTCTTTTTGACAGATGTAGGTGTTTAGTGTTATCTTACCTTGGGGTCATCATATAAGCGGCTCAGCAGGCTGGCCCAACTCCCAAACAAGTGCTGAAACTCAGCCACTCTGCTTTTGCGTTTGATGCTGCACTGATCCATCTCCCTTCACCAGACTGAGGACTTGAGGAAAACTGAGTCCGCCTGACAGCCAGCTGGTGCAATGAAAAAACAATCAAGGATCAGAGTAAACAACAGTGACTTTAATAAAATAGAAGACTTTAGTTAACTACAGCATAAAACCTTTAAATACTTTACATTTCTGAAAACTGAGAACAAAGTTAAGTGACTAACCTGAATAATGTAGTTAACCTGGTCCGGTTGTCAGCTCACAACTTATGAAACTGTGTCTTAAAGTTGTCTCCAACTCAGTAGCAACACACCCTTTATAAAACCACCCCTTCTTCTTCTTCCTCCTCCTTCTTCCTCTTCCTGGATTTCTGCTGGAGGGACTCTAAAAGGCGTGTTGGTATTGCTGGTGCCATCTGCTGTTCACCTCAAATGTTACAGCATTAGACTGAGGGCAATACTTTTCTGAAGAACTGCTTCATAATTAATATTCCAACAGATCATATAATGTGAGGATCTAGATATCATAAACATCTGGTTTTATTCTAATTAAAGTAGGCAAGATCAGTATTGGACCATACAATTGAACTTGATATCAAAATTAGAAGTAAATACAAGAGCAATAGGCCTACTTACCAGTCAATGTGATTTATGCATGTATTTATTGTAAACTTGGAAATGATATGTAATTGATTCAATAATACTGAAACTGATATTATTATTTCGATTATTGTTATTACTATTATGAGGTACAGCATCCAAACTATTTGACCTGAGTCCATTTATAATCATAAGTGGTCACTCTGAGAAACTGAAACACATAATTGAATTCATTGAAAGCTCACAAAGCCAAATGACTTATCAGAGATGTATTTCATGACAGAGGTGCAGGAGAAGTTTTACAAGTTTAAAAGTTGCAAGTAAGTTCTCACACACTGTTTGAGGAGCAAACACGTTGTATTATAATGATTGATATTATTAAGAGTTATTTTCTCATGTGGAAACGTCCTAGCAGTATGGTGGCTCTAGATACAAATATATAGATACATTTATTAGTAATTGTATTATTATCCAAGCATCGTTACTGTGATGGATTTATCGGCTCTTTCCACAAGGGAGGGGTGTGTGGGGTTGTGCGCCATCTAGCATTGTGGTTGCTGCCAAGTAAATACTACTTTGCTCACCCGTCCCTTTACAAGACAGCAGTTACGAGCCACCAAGTGCAACACTGCAGTAATGCAATGCAGGACCTTCCCCTTAACCAGAGGCCAACCTCACCATAACTTTAGTAATGTAATGAAATTCAACTGGCAGGCACCAGCTGGGATTAAGACAGTTTCACAAGAGTGTTGGTAAAGTACGATGGCTTTCAGGTTACTTAAAAAAAACCTCCAGAAACAGTGTTCTGCCGTTAAAGCTTCTTTACAAACATGGTGGTGCAACAGAGTGGACCTGACATCTACAGTATGTACACACAAAGGCTCATTCTAAGGTAACAAAATCAACAGTTCTTAGTTCAGGTGATTGTGCACTAATAAAGGTTATGAATATTATATTCAATACACTTTATTTATAAGTGCCTTTCAAGACACCCATAGGACACAGAATATGACCAGATAATACATAATGAAATATAACAGTGTAAGTATGTATGTAGGCTAGGGCTGAACGATTCATCGATTTTAAATCGAAATTGCGATTTGAAATGATGCGATTATCAAATCGCAAAGCCTGCGATTTTTTTGTGTGTGCTTGTGTGTCAGTCATCCACACCAATCAGAAGTGCTGTGCTCCGCATGTACCAGCCATTGTTAACCAATCAGAAGTGGCCCATGATAGAAGGTGATTGACAGATTGATCCAATCACCAGCCATATATTCTTGAAAGTGCCTGCCCTTTTCCAAATGGCTTCCAATGGAGCTTTCCTAGATGGTTTGTGTTTGATGTTCTCATAAACGAGTCATGTTTATCATATAACTTGGTTTAATAACCTTAATAGTGACGGAGCAACATTACATACACATGGCAGTTATCACAACACTACTCGAACGCCGCATGTAGATCCCTACATCCGGTACGGTGTCTGCAGAAGGACCAAAGAGACCAAATGCGAATACTCTACATCCCCTTTCTTTAGCTCTTCCTACAGTAGTGAACAAAACTGTTATACTGAGCACATATGACAGAACATACAGAATGCTGCAAATTTGCACATTATCAAACTATGTGTGCATTTAGTAACTGATGAACACAGAGGCTATCTCAAAGAAGGAGTGCAGCAATTAACTCAGTAATTATTACTACAGTAACAAAGTAGATTACTAAAATAGAATACATTTGCACTGTGAAACAAAACTTTAAGCCTCAATATGGTATAACTGTGTGAACTAAGTTTAGAGACATTGTTCTCAGAGTGGTATGCTTATGCATACATGACAAAGCTTCAGTCTCTGTATTTGGGATTAGGCTTGATAGCACGGCCTGAGTGTGTCCTGTAGACACTCTCAGGAGTGTCTGACAGCAGTTTAGCTGTGGGAACATCAGCCCTCATGTGTTCACTGTTCAGTGATTCCTGTGTGTTACAATCTGTGAACTCAAGTCCTGTCCTGTGTGTGTGATCAGTGTCACTTGTGGAGGTATGTGACGGGACAGGCTCAGCTACAGGCAGAATGTGCCTACGATTCCTTCTGTACAGCTTCCCGTCTGAGTGGACGACGTATGACCGGGGTTCCTTGCAAATCTCTTGAATTATTCCAGTCCTGTTGTAACCTTGTGGGGTCTGCATCCTAACAACCTGTCCTTCCATCAAAGGTTGTAGTGGTCGGCTTGACTTATCATAGCACTGTTTTTGATACAGCCTCTTGTTTAGAAGCTGGGCTTTTACCTCTTATGGATGGCGCATGTCTGGCTCAAGCAGCTTCACCGAGACTGGGAGTGTTGTACGTGTTTGTCTCGACATCAGTCTCTGTGCAGGAGATCCTAATTGTGCGTCACGTGGCACATTCCTGATGGAGGCCTGTGGTGCAGTGGGTTGTGAGTTGGTATTCGGATCAGGAGGTCACAGGTTCAAACCCCACTGCAGTCAGCATGTCGTTGTGTCCCTGGGCAAGACACTTCACCCCAAATTGCTCCTGTGGGGATTGCCCACAGTATTGAGTATGTAAGTCGCTTTGGATAAAAGCGTCTAACAAGTGACATGTAATGTTTAATAGGTTGAGAAAAACATCAGTTCCATCTCTATGAGATTTCTCCATGAGCTGCTTAGCACTGCGCACAGCCCGTTCAGCTAGGCCGTTGGACTGGGGATACTCAGGGCTGCTGGTAATATGAGTGAAGTCCCACTGTGAAGCAGTCTTTAAAGCGCGGGCTAGTAAACTGCCTCCCATTGTCTGACTTGAGGGTGTGAGGTGCTCCATGAACTGAGAAATGTCTTTTCAGCTTTGCAATGACTGTTGCTGCAGTGATATCACGAAGCATGTCTATCTCATACCAGCCTGAATATGAGTCCACTAGCACTAAGTATTGCTGATTGTGCCACTCAAAGATGTCAGTTGCTACAGTTGACCACGGCAGGTCTGGAACTGGATGCAGATGGAGTGGTTCTTTCTGCTGGTGTGGTTTTGTGCTGTTGCACACAGAGCATGACTGTATTTCTGTGTGAATGTTGTCTGTCATAGTTGGCCAGAAAACAATGCTACGTGCTCTCCGCTTTGTAGCCACTTCACCAGGATGTCCTCTGGGCATGATGCTGATGTATTCTTTCTGTAGTGACAGAGGAATAACTGCTTTGTGACCCTTCATTATGACTCCATTTTCAACAATCAGTTCGTCTCTGAAAGGGAAATACGGTCTAATGGCATGTGGAAGATTATGCTGTTTAGCGGGCCACCCGTGTCTGATAGTGGTGCTGAGTGTTTGCAGAGTCATGTCTTCAGCGGTGTGCCTCTCTAACTCTTTTAAGCGAGAAGAAGATATGTAGTTAACAGTCATCACGTCGAAGTTGTCCTCTTCTTCAGCTTGCTGAACTGTGGAGCTGCGGGGAGCTCGCGACAAAGTGTCAGCCAGGAACATTTGCTTTCCACATTTGTACACAAGAGTGATGTCGTACTTTTGTAGTCGTAGCATCATTCTTTGTAGTCTTGCAGGTGCTGTGTGTATGGGCTTTTTTAGTATGGTGACGAGGGGCTGGTGGTCTGTTTCAATAGTGACTGGTTTACCATAGATATAGTCATTGAATTTTGAACATGCAAAGACCACTGCCAACAACTCTTTTTCGATTTGAGCATATCTGGTTTCTGTTTCAGTTAGTGTACGCGAAGCATACGCTACAGGTTTTCCTTCCTGCAAACACGCTGCACCGAGTCCGTACTGTGAAGCGTCACAGGTAAGTGTCACTGGCTTGTCAACGTCGTAGTATAGCAACACCGGTGGGCAAGACATGCGTTTCTTTAAATCTTCAAAAGCTTTCTGCTGCTGTTCATGCCATGTCCATTCTGTGTCTTTATGTGTGAGTAGCCGTAGTGGAGCTGACAGCTGGCTGAAGTTTGGTATGAACTTTCCAAGGTAGTTGACCATCCCCAGGAATCTTTGTAAGGCTGGGATGTCTGCTGGCACTGGCATCTCACTAATAGCACTTGTTTTGGAAGGATCTGCTTTGAGTCCTTCACTGGTGAAAACATGGCCGACATAGCCGACTTGGCTTAGCCTGAACTTGCACTTGAGGGGGTTAAGCCTTAAGTTAACCTCCCTGACCCTGTTAAGCACTTTTCTCAGGTTGGCGTCGTGCTCTGCAACATCTTTACCTGCAATAATGATATCATCAACGATGATTTCACAGGGGTATCCGGCGAAAATCTGTTCCATGGAGTGCTGGAACACCTCGCTGGCAGAATTGATTCCAAATGGCATTCTTAGAAATCTGTAACGACCAAAAGGGGAGCTGAAAGTGGTTAACATGGAAGACTTAAGGTCGAGTGGAATCTGCTAAAAAGATCTCTTTGCATCTAATACAGAAAACATAGTTGCTTTTGACATGTGTGTGGCGACTTCTTCCACAGTACACATAGGATGGTGTGGTCTTTTCAGAGCAGTGTTCAAGTCTCTTGGATTAATATCCTGATTTCTTGTTTGTCCTTTTTGCTAGTGGCTACCATAGAGGACACCTAATCAGTGGGCTCTGAGACAGGAATGATGACGCCCAGTTCCTGCATCTTGTCGAGTTCAGCTTTGACTCTGTCTTTCATAGCCACAGGTATGCGATGTGCAGAACGAACGACTGGTTTTACATCTGGGTCGAGAGTCATGGAGTACGTCACAGGTAGCTTTCCAAGCTCATCAGAGAAGAGATCGCTGTATTCTGTTTGGATCTCAACTGAAAAATCATCGTCAGTGGGGCTTAATTGATGAACTGCTTCACTGAATGAAACTAGTCCCATCCGTCTGCACGCTCGTAGCCCAAGCAGTGGCAGGACATCCTCTTCTACAATGTAGAATGGCAGTGTGTGGACTTTTCCCACTAGGTGGCACTGCAGTCTGACTACGCCCGCAGTTTTGATTTTGCTACCACCATATGCTACAAGATTAGTGGATTTAAAACACGTCTGTATTTGTTCATCTCCTTTTATCACATTGAATGACATTTTTGACATAATATTGCACTTCGCACCAGTGTCTACTTTCATCTCGACTACATTGTCATTGATGTGCACAGTGACAAAAGCCTCATAATTTGTATCTATCTGTGCATCAGTTGCGTCAACACTTACTTGCAGTGTTACGCTGTCAACATAGAATGTTTCATCTGTAGTTGTATCAGCTTGATCAGGTTTTAGTTGATGAACTATCCTCCTGGGCCCTTGCTTGTTATATGCTTGTTGTATGGAATTGCAACACTTCTTGAAATGATTCCACTTTTTGCAGGTATAACACTGTTGACCATTTGCTGGACAGTTGTCCCTCTTTGCTGCATGACTACCTCCACAGTTGTAGCAGTTGGAAATAGAGCTAACTCCTTTGCCTGAGGTTTCCTTTTGTTGTCGTATTTTCGTGTTCCTCTCTGGTAAGTCTGAACTGAATCCACATTTGTGGCAGAGTGTTGTGGCATAGCTAGCGTTTTATTGTGCTCTTCAGTCATCTCATGGATCTGACATATGTTAACAGCCTTGATTAGTGTTAAATCACAGTCTCTCAGGAGCACTTTCCTTAAGTTGCCATTACTAATACCACAGACCAGTCTATCTCTGATTAGTTCTTCAT